GCAATAGGGGAGATTATGTCGAGCCTCGTACTCGCGTCCGTATCCCCGCCTATCAACCCACCTCCTAGCTAAAGGGAGAAACGGTGGAGGTGATGCATCCGGAGCGAAGGGTGGTAGAGGTGGGTGCAACTGCAGGAATCGCTCCCAGGCCCAAACCTAATATACAACGTGGACGTAAAATTTAAGGTATATTTTTACTATGTATGTTATAATCATGAAAATAATTGACTATGTTTTCACCTGCATCAGCGGCAAAAATCAGGCAACGTCCCGCTGCGTGCCCATGCTCGCCCGGCACATCTGCCTGTATAAGTAACCTAGAACAGTTGCACCCCAGCTGTAATCATGTAAATCATCTAGCCGTTCAAGATGATGAAAAAATCTCAAGCTGACTAGATTTCCCTAAGTGTTCGCGAACAATACCCCTCCAAAGATAAGCAGCATCAACAACCTCGTGTACCGGTTAATATGAAGATCCGGTGTATCATCCATAATGTTCGCATGCATCGCCTCCAGATGCAGCCGGACGGGCGTCAACTGCAGGCGACTAGCCCCAACCAATGCAACCTCATCCGCTGGTTGGAAACCGGTGAGCCGCTGCAGCATCTCCAGGTACTGCAATCCCGTATAATCTCTGGTAGCATGCGATAAAGCTACAGGATGTCCATCAACCGGCTGCCCATACAGAACCTCCACGTCCTGAAGCGTGATAGTAGCCTCGCCAATGGGTAAATGAAATATGTGCGTCTCCGGTCGCCACCGCTCTATCAAAGCCGTGATCAACGACCAATCCAGCTGCAGCCGGCCGATCTCAATAATCCTATAGAAACCCGTATCCTGAAGGCGTCTGACTATACGGGGATGGAGATGGTGGGCTCTAAGAAAGTCCCACATATCGTCTACTCTTCTAGCACGGAACGTCTGGGCTAATAACTCCCCCTCCCATATGTACGAAGACCTATGCTCGGCCTGTAGCAACAGTAACTCTAGCGAGGCAGGTCCGGGATGCACAGGCGTAACCTCCATGACGACTAGTGTAAATTAAACAATATTAATTAAAGTATTTTTTGTTTTTTATTGCTTAACATCTTTAAATATATTGTAATATCTTTAATATTAAAATTTATTCGATATTTTTACTATATTGTTAATTAGGTTGATACATTTTCTATATTATAATTATATATTTTATATGTTGTTTTATTATTTTATATGTTTGGAGAGATATTGTGCTTGAACTATTAGCTTTTTTGAGATATTTTTGGGTTTAACAGGTACTTAAATGATTAATTTAAATAACTACAAAGATACTACGCTAAAGGGTACTACATTTTACTGCGCTAAAAGGGCACTACATTACAAATATGAGTACTACATTAGAGCACAAAATACCACTACAAGGAACTAAAGTTATATATTCATATATGTACAACAATAACATATAAATAAAATTAATTATTCCTAAAATAATAATTTATCTATTTTACTAGTCTTTTAGCAAATAAATAATCTAAACCGGATAAAAATAACAAATTAATTTAATCACAAAAATCACGAAAAAACATATACCACAGTAAACAGTAACTAATTAACATCTTTTTTAACAAATAATAACAATTTCTCTATTTTACTAATTTTTTTAGCACACTATTAATATAATCCGGATAAAAAATAATAAATTAATTATATCGCAAAACAATCACAAAATAACATAGAACACAGAAAAAACAACTAATAGGCATTTTTTATACATGAGTTTTAACATAAAATAAGTCGGAATACCTAGATTTACAGTTTTTGAAAAGTTGAAGATTTGGTGATTTGGAGCCGAAACAAGCAACCCACTACGAGATAACGCCTTAGATACGATGTGGGACTAAGAATCTACACTTTTTGTG